GTAAGTATGTCTGAAAAAGCACAATTTAAATATATTTCTTTTTCACCTGGGTGAGCTACATCTTATTTGAGTTGTTTACCATACCGAGTTTCAGTTGAACTTTCATCTGAGTTCCGAAGTAAATGTAGGCATTTTATATTATTTTTTGTTTATATGATTCAACTTAAGATTGCGTTGGAATGATTAACGCTTACTGTATCAACATAGCGTTAATCAAAAGCAGAGGTATTTCATGCAGACATTGATAAGGACGTTTTTCACACCGCCCGTGCAAAGGGCTATGGCAAATAATTTAAAATGAGCCTTAACCACTCCAATGCGATCTTAAAGGGATAGTTCACCCAAAAATGAAAATTCTGTCATTAATTACTCATCAGTGGTTCATCCGCAATTATACGAAGCTACGAGAATACTTTTTGTCAAAAAAAAAAAAAAAAAAACTACTTTATTCAACAATTCGTCTCCTCCGCATCACCCTGTAGCGCCATTTTTGAGAGTATCCACTGAATGCAAACAGTGTACGTTGTTCTGCGTCAGCCGCACCACACGGATACGTTGTTTTAGTTCAAATCAAAGCACAAACAACGTAGAAAACGTATCCGCGTGTCACAGCTGACACAGCTGCACAAAAAGTATTCTCGTAGCTTTGTAATATTACGGTTGAACCCCTGATGTCACATAGATTATTTTACCGATCTCCTTGCTACGTTTCTGGACGTTGATCATGGTAGTACCCTTGCTGTCTATGGGAGGATCAGAGAGCTGTCAGAATTCATCGAAAATATCTTAATTTGTGTCCCGAAGATGAACGGAGGTCTTACGGGTTTGGAACGACATGAGGGTGAGTAATTAATGACAGAATTTTATTGTAATTTTAGAATAATATAAACATTAAATAATATCAAATGTCTACATTCACTATATTATCCAGTCTCCGCTGTAGCTCCCGTCATCTAAACTCCCAGAATGCATTGCCGCTGTGATGACACATTCCCATTCTCTATACAAATGTAAATTCAAAAAGAATTGATTGTGAACAAAGATCGCATAACAACAGATGAATAATTACAGACGTTAGTTCATATCAAAATCTGAATTTGATTAGCTGTGCAGCGCTACTTCAATTATTGGCCAAATTCCGTGAAATTCCGCATTATACAGTGAGTTGTGGTTTTGACTTCATGGTTCCTTCCATGTTGTCCGCATCGCAGAAAACATAGGGCTCTAGATATATGGACAGTGTAACCAGGAAACGAGTTTTAACTCTAAAACGCTAGAATGAGACAGTCTAGTAAGTGCGCGTGGCTACATCACATATGTTCCCGCCCTCACCGCCACGGCACGAAAACACTAATAAAACTTAGTTTTGGAAAAAATACTTTGTATTACAAATCATTATATTATTTGGCTTTCTATTAATGCAATGCAATGAATCACAGCCGTCTAGTCTCCCAGTGGCTTACTGTCACACTTCTTGGGAGGCAAGGAGCGAGGAACGAGGAAACACGGAGATAACTTCAATTCACAGTCTTTAATGATCACACGGGGAACGTAGGAGACACTGGAACACAAGGAATGACGTTTGAGGACTGACCAACACTAACTGAAAGGACTGGGGCTTTTAAACACTGGGTGATTGGGAAAACACAGGTGCAAGGAATGATTAATTAAAGGGAACATGGCACACCTGGGGAGGGAAAACACAACACAAAGAGTCCAGGGGCGTGACATTAATCCCCCCTCCTGGAAGGTGCATCCTCGCACCGTAGAAACAACATGGGGAGGGGAGTGGGTGGGAACTAGGGAGGAGGCTCAGTAGGAGGACGGACGCCCGGGAGGGGGCCGGCAGACAGATTCCAGGGAGGAGACAACGGAGGGAGGAGCCAGGGAGGAGACAGGAGGGACCCGGAGCAGGAAGAGCACAGCAGGACCCAGGCCACAGCCATAACAGTGGCCCACGGTGGAGCCGATGGAGAGAGGAGCCATGGAGGAGGAATGGCCACCGACTCCAGGGGGCCGACCAACGGCGGCGGAGCAGGTGGTGGAGGAGCCCGAGGCGTTGACGGAGAGCCAATGAGCCAGGGGGATGCCGAGGATCCGTGGGGGTCAGGGTGGAGCCGAGGGCTCTGGTGACCAAGGCGGAGGCCCGTGGCGGAGCCGGAAGGACCATCTTCGGATGACAACGCTCTGCACTCGGCGTTCAGGCTTGCGTCATAGAAAGAGCAGAGCGCGTCGTCCGGATAGCTGGTGATGTTAGCGACCAACAGGAACAGATTGGTATGGTCCTCGAGAGCTTTGTCTCCCTGCTCCAGCAGGAGGAGGAATTCGGGGCAAGTGAAGGGATCCATGGGGACATAACGGAAAGAGAAAAAAAGGGAAAACAAACGGAGGGGAAAACACAGAAGTTACTGTTTGGGTCGGTCCTTCTGTCACATTTCTCGGGAGGCAAGGAGCGAGGAACAAGGAAGCGCTCACGCAGAGAGTGTATATATATATATATATCTGTGCTAAACTTATACTTAGCCTCCAAATCACACACTGGCAAATAAAATCTGAGAATTTATTAGCCATTGGCTATTATTAGACATCATTTAGTCGCCCAGAGTGAAGATTTAGTCGCATATGCGAGTGATTTACTCGCAATGTAGAGGGTTGGACTTTACCGGAGAAGTGTCACCTTTCTCGGCGTCTGTTCTGTGCAGTGAGCGGCAGAGAAGCAGCGCATTCAGTTGGCCGCACCGCAGCCGACTCATCAATAAATGAGTACAAAACAGAGTTTCCTAGCACCTGTCACTTACTGATTGTTTGGAATAATAAATATGAGTGTAGTTCGTCTGTTAATATCACATGCACTTTTTTGTTTGTTGTTTTTTTTAGTTACTCAGACGCAGGCAGTGCGCTGCATGAGACAAAAAAGTAATATAGCCAAAACAACCGCATAGCCGCTCTTTAGTGTAGATGCATGTTGATTTTATCAGACGATGCCGCGATTATAAATGAGAGTGACTCCTGGTTAACATTTTAACCAGGTGACTCCTGTGTCACTATTTAGTGTGGTATTTTTTGGACAATATTCACTCATCATGACAGTAAAATATGGTATTCTAAGTCAATATACTGCAGTATTTACTCTCTCAATCAGTAGAAAATATGGTTAACACCCAGTCATGCATGAAAAAAAAATACCGTCATGTACTGTGAAACCGGCATAATTTTGAAAAATACCGTGATATACATTTTTGGTCATACCGCCCAGCACTATGATTACATTATTTTAAATGAGTCAACCCCAGATTACTGTTCTAAACATGAGCCGCGTCCAAAAGGTAAAGGGGGAGGTGTTGCTACAATTTATAACAATATTTTCAGTATTTCTCAGAGGGCGGGCTTCAGTAATGGTAATAGTGCTTCATATAACATTATCCAGAGAAACAAGTGTTAATGATAAATCCCCTGTGATGTTTGTACTGGCTACTGTATACAGGCCACCAGGGCACCATACAGACTTTATTAAAGAATTTGCTGATTTTATATCCGAGTTAGTGCTGGCTGCAGATAAAGTTTTAATTGTTGGTGATTTTAATATCCATGTTGATAATGAAAAAGATGCATTGGGATCAGCATTCATAGACATTCTGAACTCTATTGGGGTTAGACAACACATGTCAGGACCTACTCATTGTCGAAATCATACTGTGAAATCATCACAATGTGATGTCCATATGACATCAATTTGACATCTAAACCATGACACTGATTTGATGTAAACTGAATGTCAAACACATTGGCCTGCATATACATTAAACCTATATCAGCGTGAGAATTAACTTCATATTTTCACCAAAGAAATTGCTGTCCAAACTGACCTTGATCAAGCCTTGACTAACATTTGACGCCAAATTGATATAAATTGACATCAAGGTGCCCGCTGGGTATCGCGTCTCGATTTCTTCGTTTGATATGACTTTTTAAAATGTAATTAAGCAAAACAGTTAAGAATAAAATGCTTTGGAATGTAGGCCTAGTGAGGTAAACGTTTTCAAAAATACTGTGATAAACTGCAGATACATATCAAATGTACAAGTGTAGAAACAAATTAGCCTATAGTCTACTGTATTCACAACTACTGCAGTATTAACCAAGAATTTCAGTGTTGACAATCCACCACACACACCGTGGCTATTAAAACAGGACTCAGCAGGTATAGCCTACCAGTTAAAAATTAGCATAGAAGCCACAGAAGCCTTCGATCAGGATTTTTTTTTCTTACGAAGTGACATTTCCATGTCGATCGCGACGACCAATATGATGATAGTAGGCGTATCTACAACAAATAAATTATAAATTGTGTATATAAAAAGGTAGCACGTAGAAAAATGTTATATATTACCATTTTACACTGCGGTTGCTGCCATTATTTTAATAGTTTTTTAATAGTTTTGTAGTGAATGAGCAGCGACGTAACTTTATTAATGTGAATTGGAGATAGAAGCTTTCACTGTGTGTACTAAAAATACATTACAGCGCAACTCATATTAAACTCAGAGACCCTCAAAACCATGCAAATGCTGCAAGTAAATCAATTACCGTCCAAATACAGGACTTAACAGGACTCACACACTCATATAGGCTACATTCAAAAGTAAAAAAAAAAACCCCCGAATTTGGCCTAGACATTTGCAAGAACTGTATCAAACTGAAAGCTTATCAATGGCCACTCACTGCTGTTCTTAAGAAACTGCATATCGCTATGCTTTTAAACGCAATAAATCGTTCAGGTTCCATTTAATCAACACATTTTATTCCTTTATCATTATACTGTATGCGCTTCTATTTAACCTTATTTTAAATATACTTCCTGAAAAAATTTTTCTATTAGGCTCTTGTTGCGTTTTAATAAAAATCAAGATATGTAAAACAAATGTTGTAGCTATCTCTGCTTTTAATATGTTCTCCCTTATATATCAGCATATGGTTCTATAATTAAAAAGAAAACCTACCACACAGATGTCACTGTTTGTTCTCCACTTGTTTTCTTTTCACGTTTGTTTACGGCGCCAGTGTAAGATGTCATTAAGTATCAATCCATTGATCTATAGTAATCTAAGTTCAATGATTTTGTAAATATTGTATTTCTCTGATATCGGTTGATCTTTTCGCTTCGCAGTAAACTGCTCCTCAGTCGACACTAGCTCATTTTCCCTCCGCTCCTGCTGCTTCGATGTGAAATGATGCGCATTTGTATGAAGGTAAAATGATGTCAAAAAGATTTGGAAGTCAGAAGCATGCAGATCATATTTATTTTGCGTTAGCATGAAGCTGCAGTTTCACAATACATGAATTACACTTACGAGTAACAGTAAAATGCTGCAAATATTTTTTTCTTGCTCTTGAAACACGATTTACACCTTTACAAAGCTTCTCTTGCGCATGCACATTTAATTTACGCTTACAGTCTTATGTACACTTCCACAAATATTACCCTGCGTATGTAAATCTTTTTGACGTCATTCTACCTTCATACATTTGTCCAGTCAGGCGCGGAAAGTACACACCCTAGCAGTCAAACACTGCAGTTCATAGGAACGTCAATTCTTGAATGAACGTATTTGAATTTCCTGTGAATCTTTTTCAGTCAAGTTTAGGGGCAGGAAAAACTTTGTTATGGATTATTATTCTTATTTATTAATTAATTAATTTGTTTGTTTATTTATTTTATTAATCTGTTCAACTTGTTCATTGGTATTCAGCTTTCTGGGTGCAATCATGTTTCTTTAATTTTCTCAGAAATGTTTGTTTATCAAGTATAAACAAAAATGTCTTAGAAAATGACATTCACTATGGGTCAACACCGTCAGATGCAAAAATAATGTGCCAAATGATTGTTAGATTGAAAAATCTACCATTCTCGTCAGGCTGATTGAGACTATATACTGTTTTTAAACTGATTTACAGATTAATATTTTGCATTACCATCATCACAGTCAGACAGAAAATCTCCCATTCTTATTAAACAAAATTGCCTGATTCACATTTATCTTTCCTTTCGGTGGGTGCGTGATCCATCCAAACTCAAATGGCCAAATAGCCTATATGCAGTGGTGTATTGTAACGAAGTAATAATACTTCGTTACAGTACTTAAGTATTTTTTGGGAGTATCTATTTACTTGAGTTATTATATTTCAGCCAACTTTTTCGTTTACTCCACTACATTTCCTAATTAAAATGTATACTTTTACTCCGATAAATTTCCCCGAAGCGTATTCGTTACTTACTACAAAATAGTCAGAAGTCAGAAGAACACGGACTGCAGGAAAGCAGGTTTGACGAATCAGTGGTCTGACGTTTGCAAGTTAGACTCCTAAAAAACACCTTTGCTCACGTGCAAACAAATGCGTGCACAACCGCGGATGATTTCATTTTCCACTCAAGTCGAGGCTAGGGTGTGCTGTGCGATACAGCATCGTCTGCGATATTAGGCTTGTTTGAGATGAGCAAAATCTGCGCAGAACCGATCATCGGTGATCACCGCGAGATGCATGCCGGTTAGAAAAGTGTCCGAGTTACATCCGACTTGCTCTGATGTCACGCTGACGTGTGCCAAAAAACTCTTGCGACGGCGAGGCGGCTGTGTCGGATTATGCAGTCGAGCGCAGTTGCTCTCCACCGACTGCGCTGATCAAAAGCATGATGGGAAAGGACTGACTGACGACACAGCTTAATGCTTATTGGTTCAGACAACCGTGATGCTGCGTTCTCGTCTAAAATATATATTTTTTTATCTGATTTCATGTGATTATGTATTTAAATTATGCATGAATATTCCCAAACACGATGACAGTGCGATCTCTGTGTGAGATATGTGATTGTTGTCATATTTCTATAAAAATCTAAAATACATGTTTGTATTAAAGTAAAAATGGATGATAAATACGCCTTTCGTATGGAATTAAATAGCAAGCACTTTGAGCGTCTTGTTCATCATATTTATTTTCATAAAAGCAACAGAACTGAAATTATATCACGTTTATTAGCAGCACAGCACATGAGTGAGAATAACGCGATATCTGCCTTTGATCTCGTTGGTATCTGTTCACTT